TTTTTTGAATCTCATATTGGTCTCACTTATTAACCACAAGGCAGTTTTTTCTGTTAAGCTTGGAAACTTCAATTTCAGCCACATATTAGTGACCTATTTTTTTTTAATCTCATGTAATTTTATGCAAATCAAAGTGTTCCAATTGCTGGGATGTCTAATAAAATCAGAGCAGCTAGAGAAGGTTTTCTTAATTTTTTAAAATCTGTTTTCTTGAATTCAATGACTTTGATTAGCCACCCAATGCTAATATTCGGTTTTATTTGTAGTCTTCTTGCTAGGTATGTAATGCAGAGCTTGATGTCATATGTTTCTGTCTTTGGATTAGGCAGCTGCCACTTGTGAAGGTCAGAAATGGCAACCATCTTTCCATGGAGAACAGTGCCTTCTCTTTTCCCAAGTCAAAATAGCAAGCTTTATGGTAGTTGTTGTCTTTGGCCTTTTTTAGTACTTTTCCCTGTGGAATTGTAATGTCTCTACAAATAGATAATTGTAAAGTGGCAGTTTTGGATCTGATCTGAAGACACAAAGCCATTACCTTGGCACATTGTTGTTTTCATTTTTGATAATAGAATTCTCAAAAATTATTGAAAAAGCTTACATGTATCATGAGCATAAAATATGCTATTGATTTAATACTATAGTACTTTTAGCCCACACATATACAGAACATCTGCAGCCCCTCAAAAACCATCAAAAAAGTCCCCTCAGAATTTGAATTGTAAAATGAAAGTTGCCATTCGAAAAGGTGATGCAAAACTACCTGGGAAGTGAAAACTAATTTCTGTTACTTTGAAACCCAGCTTTAGGTTGGATAGATTGGAATTTAACATCTTTATGTTTTTAGACTAATATACATTTTGTGGAAATTTAAAAATAATATTCTAATCTTTAATTATCCTGAGGTAGAGGCTATGATGAATAACACTATCTGGTTTTTTTCATAGTGCCAGATTGTATATTGATCACCACCTTTTTAAAAAAAAAACTGCTCAACTCTATATACTCAAATAAATTGTTATTCTTAGAGCCAAATATATATAAGTAAACAAGTAAATATCATTATGATATTTATGTATAAGCAGGCTAAATAAATGCTGAATGGCTCAGCAACCATGCTCTATTTCAGCAATATTATTGTTATGCACAAGAACAAGATTGCAGATTAACACATTCATAACTATAAGGGCATAATACTCTAATCTATATGTTTCAATGGAAGTGTTTGGTACAAAGCATTGATGTTCAACTGCTTCAATGGAGGAAGTATGTCTTCTGATAAAGTGCTGTATTAATGTTTATCAAAGATATTCTATCTGTTGTAGTGAGCACGTTGCTCCAAAATGTGGTTTCCATAGGCAGGATTGTGGCAGAGATAACTTTCCATCCATTGGATCCACAGTTGTTCCTGCCTTTCTAGTGAGCCTATTTTGGCCAACCATACACATCTTTGAAACTAACATAGTTAGTTTCGTAAGTATATGGATTACTTAAACTCACATTATTATATTTACATATACAATGAGAAATCATAGCTGCCAGTTCCTCAATTCCTTTACTTGTACTGAGTTTCTTACAAAGAATTTGGGATATGATAATTTATCAGCGTATGTATGTGTGGATCCAACAGTTGGAAATTTTGTCAATGTGCAGATTTTCTAAGTATCATCCAAAGCTTTTTCATATAGCACCTAGTGTGCTGATCACTACTGGGACAATAACAGCTGGTTTATGTCATAATCTTTCAACTTCAGTTTTCAGATCTTGATACTTTGTGATCTTCTCCAGTTCTTTTTCTTCCTGGTATTGCCACATCATTATCCACATTTTCTTCTTTTCAGCCACAGTTAAATCTTATATATTAATTTATGCCCATTTTCGACTACTTTTTCATCAATATGTTCCTTTTCACATTTTATTACTGGCACATGATAATTTTTACAGATTTTCCAATGAATCATTTTGGCAACTGTGGTGTGTTGTTGTTTATAATCTGTCTGTGTAATCTTCCTGCATGAAATGAGTATATGATTTACTGTTTCTTTGTACAATCTGGATTTGGAATCATTTTATTATTTTTCAATTCTGGTTTGGATTGCATTAGTTGGAATAGCTTGCTCTTGAACAACCAAATCAAGCCCTCAGTTTCTTTTTTTAATGTTCCAGTTGTAAGCCATTGCGAGATTTAATTTTTATCCACTTTCCCCTCAATTTCTTTGTAGAAATTGGCAATATATTGGGTTTCCTTGCCAGTGTTATTTCCTATACATTCAGGAAATTTCCATTTTTAACTTGTTTAACTTTGTTCTTGACTGTCTTTTACATAATCAGCCAAGTTTTACTTCTTCAAATAGTTGGTTTGACTGAAAGTAAACCTCTGTTTCCATTTCTGTGAGGCAAGTATAATATCATTACAGGAATGTTGTGCACAGTAAATAGTCATAGGTTTTCTTGTTTTTTCGTCCAAAATGTCCAGTTCAGTTTGTGTCTGGTTACTAATTCAAGTAGTGTATCATTTCAGAAATATGACCCAGACTTTGATGGTTTTTCCACAGTTCAATTTTATCTAGCAGTTTTCTCCCCAATTGGATGTATTATTTACTAATCACATTTTTTATTTGTCTATGCTTGATATTATCCATTGTAAAATACCCAGATACTTGTGGGCTTCATCTTGATGGTTTCTGTGGTTTGGTCATTCAGCATTCCCATTCTATCATTGTTTGTGGATTTTATACCAATTTATTGCTACTGTAGCAAATTTCTCTAGGCCAAATTCTATTGCCACATTTGTGCTAAAAGTTTTTATAGCATTTGTCAGTGATTGGGGTTTGACTTCTGATTTTCCATAAAGCTTCAAATCATCCTTAAAAAGCAAATGTCAGAGCTTATTAGCGTGGTTTTTTTTTCTGTTCGATAACCAACATTTTTTTCTTCAAAATCACTGGGATTGTTACATTGACAATAATAAAGTTGATAATGAGTTACTCTGGAAGATCCCCTTCCTACTGTTGAAAAGCCCATATTTTTCATTTCCAACCACCAATTCTGTCTACCAGTTCATTATTCTTTTTCTGTAAATATTCTAATGTTTTAATGACACCAGTTGTTTCCAGACATTTGATTATCCAACTATGTAGTAATGAATCATTAAAAGATAACCATATAATTTTCACTAATGCATAATCCACTCCTACAAGCAACTTATTTCTAACTCACAATATCAGGTCTTCAGTCCACTTAGTTGGGGCCATGAATTTATCTTTCCAAGTTGAAGGACTTGGAAATGATAAGAATATGGAGAATCCATTTGATGTAATGATTATGTAGACACCAAAGAAGTGATAAGAATATGGACACCAAAAATATTGCACCCTATCTTAAAAATCAATTTGCTATAACTTGTACATGGAAAGTCTATGTACAGTATCAAGTATCCTGGGAATTACATTCATTTGAAAAAGCTTACTTAATCCACATACTTTTTGAATATCTTATTTATATTTAATGTAATTATTTGAGAAATGTCACATGGAATATAAAAGTTAATAATTTCACTAAATATACAAAAATGATAATTACCTATTGATATCAACTTCTTCTTAGCAATCACATAACACAGCATCTCTTAATTTGCCTCAATTTATTAATCAAATGCTTCAGAGCCAGAATCAAAGTATGATCAGAAACAAAGAATAAAATATATCTAGCATATAATATCAATTTATATGCTAATAAATTATGCAAAAAATAATCTCAACTGGTATTATGAGCTTGCTTAGAACAAGCAGAGTTCTAAACAAACATCAAAAATCAAAATGGATATCCTTATCTGGTATTTCCATAGAGTGAAAAACTAGATTAAGGCAACCATTGATTTAGACTTAAAGCTGTGTACAAAAACTGGACCCATTTTATAAATCCTATGGGAAATCCATAGCTAAGGTAATTTAGCTGTGATAATATACTATCTATAGATTTCATTGGAAGCTTTGTCTGCAAGTAATAGGATTGTGGCTTTGTCTTTTTCATCTTTACTCAAATCAATAACATTAACCTTAACAGCCAAATATTATCTGATCTATGTCAAGTTTGATTATCCTTGACCATTGAAGCAATCACTTGCTGACGTCTGTTGGCTAAAATAGCCAACTGCTAAAATAGCAGTTAAGGCTCTAATATCTACATTAATCAGTTAAATGTTAACACCTACTGTATGATCTTTACCAGACATAACATGATATATGCATCATATTTCATTCATTCAATGAAAAGGGTAACATTCCAGTTTAACAAAATCTGATCGGATTATTGATAGAATTTGGATAAAATATATCAAAAAATACTTTATACCATTATGCAAGAAATATAAAACGTCCTGTTATCTTACCATTACTCTATTTTTTTCTTTCTATTCAGTCATGTCCAGTTTGCAGAGACTGCCCTCCAGTTTTCTTGGCAAGGTTTTTCAGAAGTGGTTTGCATTGCCTCCTTCCTAGGGCTGAGAGAAAGCGATTGGCCCAAGGTCACCCAGCTAGCTTTTTTCCTAAGGCAGAACTAGTACTCACTGTTTCCTGGTTTCTAGCCTGATGCCTTAACTACTACATCAAACTAGCTCTTGCCGTTACTGATAACCAAAAGTAAAAATAAGTCAAGAAGCAATTAATAAATTGTTTGTTTGTAGAGCACTCTCTCTGAATTTGATGTCTCCATCAAATGCCAATTGTAAAATAGCATTTTAACTTACGCAAACAATAGAAAATTTTTGTGATAAGCCCAGCTATAATTTTTAATCTCTGTTTGTTTTCTGGTAGTTTTGAATTGCTGTTTTTGGAAAAAGCATATAAAATTCACTTTCGTATCACCTATATACAAAGATTGAATTTATAATAAACCCAGCACAGATCCCTTAGGCAATATGCAAGATATAAACAACTGTACAATCAGAGCAATATCATCCTGTTTCTCTTGTTTAATTAATATTTTCTTCTTGGACTTTTCAGGCATATAAAAGGAAAACTGAAGCAGCAAAGAAGGAATATCTAAAAGCTCTGGCAGCCTACCGGGCCAGCTTGGTTTCCAAGGTAACAGACTATGCTTCATATATGAATTTCGATGGTTGTAGCAATGATAAATTAGTTGCAACTCAGGGACATCTCTGGGGAAGAGCAAGTTTGTAAGAAACACAGTATAACCATGCCATCAAAATGAATTTAAGTGTTAGCTACGTACTGTATGAACTAAGTAAAATACTCCAGCTTGCCTCAAGGATACATACCGGTAGTAAGGATTTTAGTTTTCTTGGTTTCAAGAAAATAACACTGAATGTCCTGGGGTTTCCTTGCAATCTTTGGAGACAAGGTTATGAGCTGACTCAGTGGTACAACTAGATCCAGTATTTTGAAATAGAAATATGCCTAAATACTGTACTTATTTTTCAGTATAATTAAGGGAAATTTGAAAATTCTCTGCATGTATTTTAAACTCCTTAAAATATAATTTCTAGAGAACTCAACCTTCCTCAGTCTATACCCTGGTTCAGAAGCTTTAGCCAAGTCATTCATGTCAAGGGTCACAATTAATATAATGCTCTCAGAAGAATCAATAGGCAGATGTTAGTCTCCGTCTCTTCAAAGATTAAATAGTAGTCATGGTTCATTAGCAGATCAGATTTTTTTTTTTGTGGGGCAAAGAGACAAAGGTTTTAATGGAGATTGATATGTTCTAGCAGCACATAGGATCGATTTATTACAGGTATTTATTAACAACCACAGTTGAGCTCAGAATTTCCATCATATCTTTTTTTGCAATTGTTAAGCAAATCAAGTGGTCATTAAGTGAACAATAAGGTTGTTAAGTAAATATTTTTTCCTAAATTGGCCGTATTTGACCACAGGATGGTGCAACTAGTCATAACTAAATGCAAGCCTATTGTCAAGTATCCAAAATATGATCATGTAGTCGTGTGTGTGTGTGTGTGTGTGTGCGCGCATGCATGCAGCAGCAGTCATAACTCTTTAAGGATACCTTTGGCATATGATCTGATGTTTTCACAAACCAGGCAGTTGAGATTGACATAAAAACCACAAGAGCAGAGTTAGAGCAGGAAGGGATTCAAGTCCAGTTCATTCAATGAGATGTGTCTGATATCTTAACTTTGTTATCCTTGACATGGCAATTCAGATGTATTGAATTTATAACATTAGACTACATCTTCCTCAGCCAGTGGGTATGGTGATGAGCATTTAAATCTATATCTTGAGGAACAAATAGAGACAGCTGTATTAGATGGGATTATCTTCACTAGTTATATTCACTTTCTTTCTTTCTTTTTTGTATTTGAAGAAAATTTTGCTCTCCAGTAATAAAAAGAAACAAAAATAAAACAAAACTATAGTTTTTAATATATGACCAACAAGAGTGGAATTGTTTGGAATTTGAATTGGTATAGAATTGGAATTGAATTGATAGAATATAAAATTTATATTTAAAAATGGATACCACCCAGTGAGAATATAAAAGAAAAGGGTAAATAAGTTGAAAAAGTAAAAAAAAGAGACAAAATAAAAATAGGATCATCACATTTAAATTTACTTCATTAATTCTGTTTCCGAATTAATTCAATAGGTGACTGGGGCAGCATGCATTGTTTTGTGTGTGTGTGTGTGTGTGTGTGTGTGTGTGTGTGTGTGTGTATGTATGTATGTATATATATATATATATATATATATATATATATATATATATATATATATATATGTCTTTGGTTGTTCGGGTTTTCTCCCACGTAAAATTGGAAGTGTCTTGGCGACGTTTCGACGAAGTCCCATTCGTCATCTTCAGGCTGGTGCTTTCAGCTTCGTGCCTCGAGCAGCAGTGTGTGGTCTTGGCTGTTTCTTCCTTTTAACTGCCAGTGGAGGTATGAACGAACACGAACACGAAGCCAAGGAATGGCAGGGCAGCCCAAAATCTTGAATCCCTCTGCAACTCAGACTAACCTGAGCACAACAACCAAATCAGAGCACACCCCCCAGCCAATCAGAGCACAGCCAACCCCCCAGCCAATCAGAGCACAGCCAAGCCCCTAACCAATCAGAACACACCTCCACCCAATCAGAACACAGCCAAGCTCCCACCCAATCAGTTCATACCTCCACTGGCAGTTAAAAGGAAGAAACAGCTAAGACCACACATTGCTGCTCGAAGCACGAAGCTGAAAACACCAGCCTGAAGATGACGAATGGGACTTCGTCGAAACGTCGCCAAGACACTTCCAATTTTACGTGGGAGAAAACCCGAACAACCAAAGACCTACATACAAATACCCGCGAAAACCTCAGAAAATATATATATATATATATATATATATATATATATATATATATATATATATATATATATATATATATATACATACACACAGTATATGCACAGTATGACCAATTGACCACCTGAAAATCAATTATGAGCAAAGGTAATGCAGTTGCAATTGTTTTTCCTGTATATAACAATGGCAGCATGTCTATGCTGAAGGCGTAACATAAATATATGTGGGGAATACTGGAATATTTAATAAAACAAAGGAGACATTGGACTGTAATAATATTTTAAAGCCTATCTGTTTTGCTAATCCTTGAGTGAGCTTGGAAATGCTACCTTTGATCAACAGCTGTTACACGTAAGGGAATTACAGTATATGTTATAGCTAACATTAGCATTTTCTTCTTAATTAGCAGTGCATTTTAAATGCTTGTTTGCTTTGATTTCAACATTATTTTATTATAATGAAACTATTAAAAGGAGGAGGCAAAAATGTCTAATAGTGAAGATCAAAGAACAGAATGTTGATTTACAGATCATTTCGACCTATCAGTTCACAGAGAGTCACTTGGCATTTTTCTTTAATGATGCATATACTTGCTTCCTCATTTGCTATTGGCATGAGATTTCAATAAGCAGGCTATGGACTGGCAGGGTGGCCCTGGGGATAAAATACAGTCGAGGGAGAAGATGGGAAAGTATTCTTTGTGTTGTAGACACAGAGCTAGCGCTCTCTCTCTCTCTCTCTCTCTCTCTCTCTCTCTCTCTCTCTCTCTCTCTGGCAGAGATGCTTTTAATGTCAATATTATAAGAAAATAAATTTACTTTTTAAACTTCTACATCATTTTAATTTTACTATAATTAAAATCAAGTAATCATACACTTCATACTGTGCAATGAGCACTAAGGAACTTCGCCTGGAGAGTTAACTGAGCCATGCTTGAAGGTTAAGAACTGTGGCAAAAAGGTCAAAAAGGAAATAATCTTAGTCCCTTTCACTGGGTTAAGTGTTTTAAAAAATTCAAAACTGCATTGAATGAGTTTAAAGTTGAATATTCTGATATTGGTATTCCATTCATGCTGCATCTAATTCATTGGCACACTATCTAACGGCATTTAGCCGTAATGATAACTGTTGTGGAATTATTTTTCAAAAAAAGACAGTTTTAAAATCTGACTTTCATATTTAAATATAGCTGGGATGAAAGATTTTGGAGAGAAAAACCCATTTATCTTTGCAAGCAAATACTTTAAAATGTATCTATTGCCTTAGAGAGGTAAATAAATAAAATTCTGTTAGAAATTGTCTGCATTTGAAGCAATCTACAAAATGGAAGCAGGTGGCATAGCAGATAACATATGCAATTGTCAAAACTATGAGAATAAAGAAGGATCTTAATGGATAAGAACAGAGATTAGCAACACGGTCCTTATGGGCACCTGCAAGTCTCATCTCATTTAACTTTTAAAAATGTATTTTAAAATAAATAAATGGAAAGCTGACTGTAAATCAAAGTGTTAGCTTCAAGATCAATTTATTTCCAATAATGTCTGAGATTGTCATATAGGCTACATAGGGATTCTTGGAAAATAAGTGATTAGAGCTGTAGCCCAGTTGTTTTCCCTGGGAATTTGCCTGTTAGACAGAAAAATAATCAAGAATATTGGCAAAAACTGTAACTGTAGAGACAGTGGGATTAAATCACCATGTTGCCTTCTGGTTAATCCTTAGTTGGGAAATTACCAAGAAATCCCCAAAGTTATAAATTAGATTGTAAAGTGGACTGCCCGAAGAACAAAATAGAAGATTATTTCCTTATTATTGTAAAAAAATCCCTACACAGTTGTGTCCCACTATGGTAAGCATTTTGTGAAAGCACTTTCAGCATGCTTTCAAAATTTCAATTTGGCTCAGGCCCCCAAAAGTCTGCCTTCCTCTGGTTTAAGCATTGAATAAGTAAAACATGCAGCTGAATGAAATAATAATATAATAAAGTGCCTTTTATTTGATCCAAAATTGGCTACTTTGATTAGCAGTGGCTCTTCATGTATTTGAATAAAGTCATCTGTTATTTGATCCTTAACTAGTTCTGAGTACAAAGCTTTTTATATGTTTATGCTGTAGACCCTGAAGAATTTTATGTTAATTAAGCTTGAGTCCAATTGTGCTGCTGGTGCTACTTACAGTATTAATGAGAAAAATGTTTTCTATAGTTGATTTAACATAGTGCTGGGAAATGCAGCAAGTTTGGTGCACATTTTTCTGCCACTTATTCTTCATCTAATACAACCATCGAAAACTGTAGACTTTTACTTAATTGTACACCATTTATACTGTGAGAAATAATGTGAAGTCTCAAATCGAGAACACTGTGATTCAGTTGCACCATTAAAGCAGAACATGTAGTGGCTTTCAGTGGACTAAGGCCCTTACAATGTATGCATGTATTAGATTTTTACACCTAGGGGTAGTGGGGGAACACCAAGACTAGATTCATAAAAAATGAAGATAAAAGTAAAAGGATTTTGGAATTGATCTCTATTAGTTGGATCTTGTGAATAAGGCTCTTCATTCAATACATATGTTACCAAGCACAGTTTTGTATCTGACAAAACAAATGGCACAGCTTTAAATGTTCAGAGATTATGATTTCTGTATAGGTCTTATTTAAGAAATCCAGTATTTTATTAGCTGTTATTTTTTTCTAAAATAGTTATTCCACACTACTTAAGCAATTGTGAAATCTCTAACAGAGTTTATACAGATTAGAGAGAAAATAAAATGGCATTAGCCACAGATGTTACAGAACTATATAGAACAGTGTTTCTCAACCTTGACAATTTTAAGGCATGTGGACTTCAACTCCCAGAATTCCACCACTAGCAATGCTGGCTGTGGAATTCTGGGAGTTGAAGTCCACATGCCTTAAAATTGTCAAGGTTGAGAAACACTGATATAGAATATGAGCCATTAATACAAATTTAGTTGTCTGCTTGCTTCAGTGATCTTAAGTTACAAGAAGTGAAGAAAAGCTAGCATGAACACATCTCCATGTCCATTTGACTTTTTTTTAAAAAAAAAATCTGTATGAGATTCATATGTTGGAAAGGGATGTTCAGTCATGTATTTTAAACTTAAATCTCTTCTTATCATGAGTGGAAGCAAAGATAAAGATTTTATAGAGAGGCAAATGATGCTGCTCATTAATTAATCCAGAGGCCCAAGTTTCACTTAACTCATTTTCATTGCAATTTGTTCTCTTCATGTGTTCGTCTGTGTGTTTCTCTCATAGAGTTCAGCTGACCAAGGCGAGACAAAAAATGTTCAAAGCAGCCAACCTTCAAAAATGATCCCACCCAAACAGCCCTTGTATACAATGCCACCGCAAGCCTCATCACCTTATCCTGGCTTGGGCTCCTTCTTGTCCCCATCGGATCTGCAGAGTTACCGTGGTCACCCTCACCCCAGCCTCTCCAGGACCCTCAGTTCCAAACCCATGTTGCCCAGTATCAGTGCCTCGCCACCTCCTTCTTTCCAAATTAGCCCCCCTCTCCATCAGCAACTCTCTTTGCATCACCCGCAGAGCTCCATCCTCAACCAGCCCCTCAGCATGCAGCAGGTCCCCCAACAACCTATTTTGTCTCCTTCTATGGCACTACAGGTACAGCCCCCCATGAATTCTTCACCACCAGGCCAGCAGGTGAGTGGCTGAGTTCTGAAGCGACCATTCTTAAATAGATTGTGCATGTTTGTAACTTGCTTAAATGTGATACTAAGATCTGTGAGTCTCATATAGTATTTACTAATTTTAGCAATCCTGCCACTCTGCATTGAAAGTTGTACGAAAAGTCTGAAAGAGACTGACTGAGTCCACACCGTGTGCCAGCCAAACAGAAGCCTGTTTGACTTAGTGCATTATGTGAATCCAGCCAGTTATGGTATAATTAATAAATCATGATTAACCAGATCTCAATATAAGGAGTTGCTTTCAGGCATTTGTTTGTTTGTTTACCTAACTAACTAACTTATTTGCTGCCCATCTCATGGTTTGAGGTGCCTCTCCGGGGATTCCATGGAATTTTACAAGCACTTCAAGCAGTGCCATTTCCCATGTGTAGCAATCCTGTTTGTAGGCCTCATCTTATGACTATTCATTTAGCAAACATTGAAAATTATAACATGCTCAAAAAAGTGACATCCAATCAGTCTTCACACTTAAAACTGTAACATTTTATTAAATTATAGAATAAAATACAAAAATACAAAAGCAAATAATAGGACACGGGGGAGGGAAAACTGTTAAAACTGTTGCAGCATCCCCACAGTCATGTGATTGCGATTCAGGCCCTTGGCAACCGGCCTGTATTTATGATGGTTGAAGCATCCTGAGATCATGTGGTTGCCATTTACAACCTTCCCACCTGGTTTCTGGCAAACAAAATCAGTGGGGAAAGACAGATTTACTTAAGAGTGTGATTACTTAATAGCCAAGTGTTTTATTTAACTGTTTTGGGGGGGAAAAAAAACCTCTCAAAATCTGGCACATTCACGTGATACTCACTTAATGACCATATCAGTTAGTGATGGAAATTCCAGTTCCAACTGTAGTTGTAAGTCAAAGATTATCTGTAATGCCATCATAGAATTCCATGTGCTATTTTTATAATTTCCAAAGTATCTTCATGTTACATTCCTAAAATTTGGTAACAATTATTTGGCAATGTAATTTTCTCCTACTTAGTTTTATTTTTTGCTAAAGTAAGAAATACAGTGGCCGAAGCAAGTTCCTTTTAAAACTCCTTTGCCTTTGTCCAAACATTTGAAAAATGTGACCTTATTAGCTTTTACAATCGTATTCCTATGCATCTTGGTTCCTAAGGAAGAAAATCTGTTTTTTAAATAGTCCCAAAGGAGCTTTCCAAAGGCAACTGGACTTTCTTGTTGATTGAGAATCTCCCTAGAAATATTTTTAAATAGGATTATTATTCCCCCTTCAAGCCAAATAAAAACTTCCTGTTTCTCTACTATAGCAATCTCCAACAAAAATATGAATTTGTTATTAGTGCATAGCGGTAGGAGAATGAACGCTATAGACAATCATTTATAATTATTATTGTTGCCTGCAAACATGAACTATGATTTTGATAGCCCCTAAGTTGCCTTTTATAACTGGGTGGGATTTTTATTTATTTATTTAATTTGTATACCTATTTCTAGTATTTATTTATTTTATTATTGTGGCAAATTATGGTATAGTGATTTAAATTAAAATGAGCTATGGATTATTCAGTAGCAATAAGTTGAAGTAGCAATAAGTCAAATCCCAGTTCTCTAGAGTAAGTGAACTTCAACCTGGAGGTTTGACAGTGGATGTTTTCCATCATTGGTTCTGTCAAGCTAAATTTGGGTAGAACATCTTTTTTAAATTTTATGATTGTCCTGTTTTGAGGCTACCCTGATTGTTGTAAATAAATAAAATAATAATTTGTTTATTTCCTCCAGGAGCTTTACTAGGATTTAAATTTAGTTGTTATTATGATTTCAGCTTTCCCCAGCTATATGCCTCCAGGTATATGGAGACCACGTTTTTGAGAGTGCCAAGTTACTGGCATTCATAGCACATCTGGGAGGTGCAGATTTCAGAAAACTCGATTAGGGCAATATCTGAAACAATATTTCACATAGAGTCTCTCAAGTTTTTTTGGGAACTACCAGAACATGGCTTCTGTTAAAACTACAATGCTTATGAAGATTTTTCTTGCCACATTCTCATATATAATCAGTTATTGTAATATATTACAGCAGTGAGAGATGCAGTTCACATGGGGGGAAAAGGCTATAATTGCAAAGAAAAAATGATAAAGGGAAAAGTATTTATTCTTATGCATAGTAAGAAATAAATGTGAGATAATTTTTTCAGAACAATAGTTTGTAAAGCTAGAATAAGTGAGAAAGCAGCAAATTGTTTTACAGAATAAATAATCTGAAATAATCTTGAGCACATTCACAGTTCTTCACATATCAGCATACTTGGTTCATCTGGGATTTCCCCCTTTTGAAATGTTTTCTTGAAATGGTTATATGTATAAAACCAAATTGTTTTGCCAATCCCTAGGGTTCTAACTTTCCTATCTTCTGTCCTTGTCTTCCGTTCTTAGGATTTTTCACATATTTCATCCGAGTTTCAGAACAGTGTTGGACCCCGATCACCTGGTGCATCAAACCCTCCAGGAAATACTGACTGGGACAACGATTACTCCAGCAGAGAGTGTGGGATTAACCACTGCAGGCCAGTAAACAAAATAAAAAACTCCCAATTTGTTTAGAAGGATTCTAAATGCATTTATTTACACAATTGGAAATTTATCATTTAAGGTAACAAAGAGAGAATAATGAAGTAAACAAAACACCATGTTCCAAAAACATACATGTTTCCTTTGAACATGAGTGCTTTTATTTAGATTTTGCATTTCTAAGAAAAAAAAATCTATTTTGTTCCCAAAACAATTGCATGGATTTTCAGAGTAAAACAAACTGTATTTAATCTAACAGAAACAGAAACAGAAACTTTCCTTTTTTTTTCAATTTTTATTTTTATTTAAAAGATTAATTTTCTTTTTTTTTATTAAGAATTGGTCTGTTATATTTAGTAATATGGGCCTCAATACCTCAGCAGTTAAAAATGCTGAGCTTGTCAGCTGACAACCCAGGTTTGAGACCGAGCAGCATACGACAGAGTGAGGTCCCCTTACTTGCCCCAACTCCTGCCCACCTAGCAGTTCGAAAGCATGCAAATGAGAGTAGATAAATAGGTACCATTTTGGTGGGAAGGTAACAGCGTTCCATGCGCCTTGGTATATAGTCACATTGGCCACATGACCACGGAAAAATCTTTGGACAATGCTGGCTCCCTTGGCAGAGAAAAAATGGAGATGAGCACCACCCCCTAGAGTCAGATACAACTGGACTTGGGAAACCTTTACCTTTATTTATTTATTTATTTATTTATTTATGAGACTTATATACCGCTTTAAGTGCAAGCACTCTCTAAGCGGTGTACACCAGTAAGCAGTATATATATATATATATATATATATATATATATATATATATATATATATATATATACACATACACATACATACATACATACATACATACATACATACATACATACACATTGCCCCCAACAATCTGGGTCCTCATTTTACCTACCCCGGAAGGATGGAAGGCTGAGTCAACCTTGAGCCGGTGAGATTTGAACCGCTGACCTGCTGAACACAGTAATCTAGTAATATATCTAAGGCAGGAAGATTTCTATGATGAAGACTGAGTGACAGAGCTGATTAATAAGAGAGAACAAATAGAAAGATGGATTAATTTACAAAAAAACCTCTACTCCTCCTTTACTATCAACTGGTTCCAGCCTTCTCACTTGCCTACATAAGACTTCTGCATATATACGGTTGTATATGCAATCCAAAGTATTGATGTACCTCCATTTATTATACCATGACAATAATTCTTTACAATATATGTGTCAACGCTGCTAATACTGAATATTCTTGCTTTGACAAAATATGCAGAACTGTCTGGTATTTTTAGAGTTAATTCAGATGACAGAGAAAAGGGAGAATAGTAAGGAAAGTCCGGGAAAATGGACGGAAGTGAATCTTTGCCCTCCAAGTTAATTGGAAGATGTGAATCATGACGCCAAAATAGGGGAGGGGAAATGCCTGGAATGTTATGTGCAAAGGGAAGGGAAATTCAGATCTTGGCATCCATCATGCCGTGCTGACAGGTCTCTACGCTAATAAAGGGGTTTTTTTTAGGTTAAACCATGCCTGAAAATTCTTTGAAGTGTTTCATTAGTCAGACACATGACAATATGCTTTAAACCATTTATGTAATTTCACTGTATCCATTATAATTTTCAGTGCCATCATAATTTTTAATGTTCTTTTTACTTACCATAGAATCTTGGGGGGGGGGATTTTCTAAAATCAGAAAAATAGAATACATTACATAATGCAGTAGTAGGCTATTCTAGACCACTGGTCAAAGGCTTCAGCATAAGGAGGACAAAAGTAAAGATGGTGACAGCAATTATGCTTTTAAAGCCTTGCCCCATTTAATGTGTGCTGCCCCACAAACCGCAAATCTGTGTTTTTGGGAAACTGAAACAGCCAAGACATGAAACTCTCTGGATTTTGCTGGCCTAGCAAGGAGCATTTTAGCCCTGAAAGATGGGGCAACCTTTTTTTTTTTTTTCAGAATCTTCTGAATGTGTGTGCTTAATGTCATTCTTCACAACATGACATGGCTTCCATTTGCTATCTTGTTTTTCACCAGAATTCCAGCAGCCTAAGGCCCTTGGAGAAATCTGAATTGGGATATACCATGAATTTGTTTTGCTAAGATGGTTGTTTACTGGAATAATATTTGTAACTACACTCTAGTTAAAGCTATTGCTGTGTTTTCATTGTTCTTCACTTGGTTTAAATATATTGGGCTTCTTGCCAATATTCAAGCTTCACTGGCTGGATATCTTAATATAATTTTACAATTTAGGCTGTGTTTCTTAAACTCTTTATGTAAAGAATTGTAAACCTGGCCTTGGGAACGGAGAAGAAATGAGTGAACCATTAAAAAGGGAATTTCAAAAAAATCCTGACAAAGAGGAATGTGTGAGATAGAAACTGAATCCCATCTTGATTATCTTTGCTATACTATGGGGTAGAAAAAACTCTTAACAGGTTTTCAACATTCTATTATTCTACCCTTCAACAGTAAAAGGTGTTCCTCGAATCTCTGCTATATCTGTTTCTTGATCTAGCCCAGGGCTTTTCAACCAGTGGTACGGGTACCACCTGTGATACATTGGCACCTGGCAGGTGATACGCGACCATCCTAGAAAAGTGGTAGCGGGGGAGGGGAATGAGCTGAACCAGTGGCAACGCCACACAAGCCTGAATGAGAGATGGCTGGAGCTTCAGGGCTGTCAGGGCTCAGCAGAAGCACCAGGATCAGTGCCGCTTTCCAGCTGATCGGCAGTTCTTCAGGACTGTCAGGCCTCAGTGGAAGCACCAGGATCAGCACAAGGCTCCAGCTGAGCCCTGAAGAAACACCAATCAGCTGGAAAGCGGCACTGATCCTGGCGCTTCTGAGCATAGAAGAAGCGCCAATCAGCTGGAATGTTGCAGCATCTCCAGGGTCTTGTGATTTACATTCAGATGCTTAGCAACTGATTCATATTTATGATGGTCACAGTGTCCCAGGGTCATGTGAAGTGACCAAAACTGCTGCAACCACCAGCAGATGGGGGGAATAAAAACCAAAAAAACCCCACCCCACCCCTGCTGCCAATCCTCAATAGAAATGCTCACAACAATGAAAACCTTGGACAGGAGGAAGAGGTCTGCCGGGCAGGCAGATGTCTTGCTCAGCTGTGGCTTGGGGGGCACTTTTTTCAGTGCCATTATAACTTCAAACAGTCACTAAGCGAACTGTTGTAAGTCGAGGACTACCTGTACTTTATCACTCTTTTCCTTTTTTTCTTTTTCTTTCATTCTTTTTCTTTTTTGGGGGGGGGTCAAGTTTTTGACAGCTTGCTAGGCGACTGGTGGTACTCTGATGGTACAATGGGTGAAAAGGTTGAAAAGCCCTGATCTAGCCTACCTTGAAGGGCTGACATATGGATAGAGAGAATGCATGAGAGCACTCTGGAATATATAGTCTGAATTGTGTGTTAAGGCTGTGAAGCAAACCACACATATTGCTGATTTGCATTCAGTCAGTTTGTCCAAACAAAAACAGACCACACTAATTCATGTTGGAAACTAGAGGATGCAGACAAAATGATATAATCTTCCAAATCACTTGAGTAAGTGAAGAAATATCTTTAGAGGAAAAAAAGAGCAAATATAAACATGGGAAAGGCACTTAGTTGAAATTCAATTATTTATAACAATATCCATAATGTGTTTGGGAGAGCAGTTTGTAAAATTAATGAAGCTCTAATACTGGAGGACCATGCTATTCACGTTCATATTAATTCTATGATAAGGGTAGGAAGATAGAACATGCTAAGTGCAGACTGTAAAAGGACAGATAAATGAATTATGAGAGAGTGGATACCATAGATACCTTTGACAAACAAGTACTTTAATATATTTTCATTCCATAACAGAGAGCTGAAATTCATTTCGATCTAAGCTGTATTCACTTAGGTATGAACCTACTACAGGCATATAAAAAAGAGTAGAGCCATTCAGTTTTTAATAGAGAAAGGATATACAGATGAGGCGACCTCTTTTATTTCTTACTTTTTTCTCCATAGTCTACTTCCAGCATAAAAATTTTGTTGTGGAGAAAATTCTTGAATCCAACAAGATACATTGGTGGTGAAATGTTTAGTATCACCACATATACAATACTGTATGTGCTTTATTCCATCTAAAGTGCAAGTTTATAGCCTACTTTGTATTGATTAAGAGATATCTGTCATGAAACTGTACAATAGTTAGGTTTGACACTGATTCTCACTCTGATAGTCCTTTTTTTCTTTCCAATAAGGCAAAATTATTCATTCATTATGAAATGCAATGAAAGGCGTATTTTCATCTGGAAAATTGTGAATGGGTTGAGGGGATGGGGTTAGACAACTTGGAAGTTGCACAATTTAATTAGCTGAAATTCTTCCATGAAGCTCTTAAATGGGGAAAACAGTTATGGGTTTTAATTTGATAAGGCTTTCAGAATTTAGCTGATTTTGCAGAAATCTTCAGTAACATTTAGCATCAGGTTAGCTTTTCCATCTTTTTGTGTGTGAGAGTGAAAACAGACTTTAGAAGTCCATTTGCAGCAGCGTATTTCTATGAGCCTGTGTTATAAAGCAAATCCATATCTATTAGCATTCAGTAAGTATAAAATATATTCAGGTCAGAATGGTGGAGCCATTCATTACCTTTTTTATTAAAAGAATAATCAGAATTAATCTTTGTCCTAGTCAAGTTTTCTAAGAAGGCAAAACACACCTTTTGTTGCTACAAATTGTGGAAGTTGACAAAAAAGAGAGAAAATGTTTCCTATTAGGAAAAAAGGTAAACTCAGATAACGCTGCTAAGTGTAACTAGCAGGGAAATGGGAGAAGAGGGGCAGAGATTAATGGATTCTTCACTGTAACTTTTCATAATTGTCACTAAGAGGAACAGCACAATGGCTGCAAATAAGGAAGCCAATTTCGGTTTCATCTAATACAATTATACTTCCCAAATCATTCGGTTCCATATTGGTCAGATTCTACCTTGAGTACTGCAATCCAGGGCTGAGCACCATGCTTTAAAAAGGATTTGAGCTGAATAGGATTTGAGCAAAGAAGGAGGAGGAGAATCTGAGCAATATAGGAGCAACATGACTCCTATGAAAGTGGCGGAAGAAACTGCATAGGTAGCCTTAAAAATAACAATACAATAATATGTGCCAGATGGAGTGGAAAGCAGAAGAACTTAAGATTTGTTCTTGGTGTCCCAGGATGCAGAAAACAGAGTAATGATTTCAAATTAAGGTAGCATCTGAGTATTGGGAATGGAAGAGCGATTCAAAGGTGGAATACCTTTCCAAGAGTGGTGATCCTCTTCACTAGATGTGTTCAAGCAAACGTTGGAATGCTTTAACATGCATTTTCCACACTGAGCAGGGAACTAAATGCTGTGGCCTACATGGCCTTTTACAATTTTGATACTAAGCTGTATCATTTCACCACATGAGTAGGAGGTAAAGCAGTTCATCAGAGTCCCAGGTTTAGAATGGATTTAGAAGTATAATTACCACATTATTTTTTTACCTGAAGTTGTAGCTCAATGCCAGTCTCAGTTAAGTATAACAACAGTGAATTATTTAGGTAGATTATATAACAAATGCAATATAGTAGTTGAAAGTGCACATCAACAGTTTGCATCCACAGTGATGTCAGCTGTAAGAATAGTTACTGGCAAACTGTAGAGAATGAAAACATTTTATTATGGATGAAATGTAAGACTTGCACATTTTAAGTCATTCCATTTAGTTCTGTATTGATCCGATTGACAGCAGCTCTCCAAGTTTACAGATTCCCCCCCACACACACACACCCTGTAAATGCCAAGAATTCAGCCTGGAACCTTATGCATGTAAACTATGTATCCTAGCACTGGTCTGGTATCTTTGGGTTGTCATTTTTGAGGATTAATACCCAAAAAATGATGCATCACCTAGAATTGTATTTCCAGTCAGTTGGTATGTAAAGGCCTGTTCTGAAACTAATAAAAAATAACAAAGCCTGGTTAACGGTTTGAAAAGGGATGGCAATACATCAGGCATGCCACTTGTGTGCTCTGGCTGACTCAACAGGCTTCTAAAAGCAACAGCTGCAAATGCTTTGATATCTGGAGTGTCAGTTGGGCATTGGAACAGAAACCATATCCTCCACTGTCCTGTGCTACTGCTCCAAATGTGAAGGTTGAGTGTTATTTGGTGGCCAATCATGCAGTTCATTTTCAGCCATAGCCCATGCCCAGCTGTGATTGACAATGGAACTATAATTGGTCTTATCTCTGTGGTAATGGGCAGCATTAGTGTTGTAATGTCTGAATAGCACGAAAGGCTTGGATGTTTTTTGGTTTCGGTGCTCCCGAATCAGTTGCCTCCAGATAGGCTAATGAGCTAGTCTTACCTGTAAGCAGCTATTGTGCTTGTTCCTTGAGACTGTCCTTATAGTGCCCTTGCCATATATGGGTGAATTTCAAGCAGAAAAAGACAGATTGTTGATTTTTAATTTCCGTACTGTCTCTTACAATGTGGACCTTACAATGCACAGGTACAACACATGGGTACCTGCTAGTCTCATGGTTGCTATGCTGTTCTTTTTTAGCAGCCTGTCACAATCTCACATCCCCTCTTTTTTCTTCTTACAGCATGCTGCCAAGGGACAAGTCACTCTACCTCACTTAAGCCTTGACATCTCCATTCTGCAAAGGTGAAAAGGAAGGACACTTAAGTGAGTCTGTGACACAGGCTACCCAGGTGGGCATCAAGCAAGTCACATGGAAAAGAGAGCATGGCTTCATATCTTGATTCTGAGAGCAGCCTGTCCTTTGTCTTTTCTATCTTTTCTTCCTCCTTTCTTTCTTTCTTCCTTCCTTCCTTCCTTCCTTCCTTCCTTTCTCTTCTCAGAAGTCTACTGTATGTGGAAGCCAACCATGCATAGATCATAAAAGAGCAAAATTGATAAAGTTTCACCCCATCCCTCATGCAACTTTCTTGCTTGCTACCAGCTTAGCTAAGGACCATTTTCCTAGCGAACTGCTTTTTAGATTCAGCACAGACTATGGCACAGCACTCAACGGCATTAGCTTGGCTCAGCAGGAGGAGATGCTCTTACGATGACTTGCTAAAAGGCACTAAATTTTGTGCAAGACAAATGTGAAGTCTGTGTGAATATTGTACATGCAAAGGCCTTGAATGTCTGGCAAAGATTTAAATTCAAAATAAAAACAAAACTATTGTTTGGAGAATGGGTGGACATAGTAGCTGGGAAGCAAAAGTGCAAATATGAGAAGGAAACAATGTGAAAAAAAAAGACCATGAAAAATATAATTTGTTGGATAGTTGTAAGTAGCTTACTTAAATGTTTTAGAAGTGTGCTAAAGACATCTTTAAAATTCTTTTGTGGAAGAAATAGTAGTTTACTTTATAGTAAAAGCATTTTATATTAATTGTAGCACATTTTTTAGTTATACATAGAATGGAAATGTGTATAAAAAAACAAATGAAAAAAAACCCTGCCAAACTCGTTTCTATTATTTGTACAGCAAGAAATGGACAATTTATATCCATGTTATATGGCATTATTATATTTTTTCAGCCATATGTCCATCTATTTAAAATTGCTGACAAGGATTTTTGTCTATTTATGAAAAAAATAGAAAGCAGAATTACAGTTTATGAAAAGTGCGTTTTCCATGTTTTTTTTAATTATTTTTTATTTTCTTTGTGGTGCTGTTTATACAGTACCTGCACATTTTGACTCACAATGCTTATCTTACCTTTCTTTATAATAAAACAAAAAAAGTAGAATCCAAGGTGTCACATTCTTTTGTGGGGCATTCAAAGATATAACTCTAAGTTGCCATTTCTCACTAGTGAAAGTACTGTGACATATGCTTCCAACAAATGTATTTGCATCACTTCTATGGTTATGGGAGTATCTGGGCACACATGAAATTTCTTTGCTCATAAAGCATACTTTCTTCACTTTAATGGAGGATTAAGAACACACCAAGTGAATGCATTTGCAGAATTGCTTTTTGTTTCAAAACACACAGGAGAACCTCCATCATCACACAACACAGAACAGCCCAGAGTCTCTTAAATACTAATACATTAACTCTAGCCTTAGTTTTAATGGACTAGAATCTGTCTATTGAGATGGATCTGCTTAATCAGGAATTCTTGTGTGTATTATGCATAAGGCTCTGAATAATAACTATATGCTTTAAGGAAGAGTTAAATACCTTTCAATACATGAACTTTAGCTAAGTTAGGATTGCCATTTTAATTAGTTGATTATACATAAACCTTTGACCCATGGTACGCTTCTGTAAGAATACTACACTTGGCTTTTCCAAAGGAGATGATGGACTTGGGGAATCTGGTGTTTTTGTCTGTCTATATAATTTTTACTAAGAATTTTTATATAAATAAAAAGCAAATGTAAAGAAAAATATGAAAAAAAAGCAAAAGCAAAAATCAAAGTAGTATCAGACCTCCTTTTAAATAGTTATAAACAAACTGATTATCCCTTCCCTTTCTTGCCATTACAAGAATCAGTCCCTTATTTAGTCCTTTTTCAATCCTCAAAACCATAAATCCTCTTTGTTTTTTTCCTTTTTGAGCAAAAAAATGCATAAAGATTTTTGTAATCTTTTATAAAAGTATTTGTTGTTTTATTCTAAACAGACTATATAGATCTGTTTTGCCAATTCTGAGATCTTTACAATCCGTTCCTTCATTGTGGGAATTTCAGGGTTCCTCCATTGTTCTGCATTAAAATCTTGGTGGGAACTTGATGCTTTTACACATGGAAAGATCCATGGAGAAATTAAATTCTAGATACGGGATTTCAAAATGGAACACATCATGCTTTTGATAACGGGTTGACCTTTGATCTCACATTTGAGAGTGATGATGCAGACTTCAAGCATAAGAAAGAAAAGATATCTATGTTGCAGTTCTATTATCTATCCACAGAGATATTTTTCTACATCTGTGTGAAAACTGTTTTTGATAGTCATATTATAGATGTGGACTGATACCCAGAAGCAAATCCCACCAACTTTGTAGGACTTACTTCCGGGTAAGTGAATATACAAGTGTAGCTTTAGATACAGCATTATATTTAAGCTATTTTTATTCATTAATGGCTCCGACTATGTTCGCGTCCTGACATAAAATCAATGTTTTTCCTCTCAAGCTTTTGACATGAGAATAATACTTCTGTAGAATTTTTTGTATACCAGCCCTTTATGCCATTACTCCAAACATTTTCATTTTCCTTTTTAAGGAAATAGAATAGTAGTAGTGTGTGGGGTGGGGGCTGCTATTAAGGAACTGAATAAGAACTATTTTTCACAGTTTTTTAAAAAGTTTAATTTGCTTATTCATATCTTTCAACATCATTCGTTTTGGCACCCTAGGCAAAGTTTTATTCAGGCATCCCCTGTAGCTTGGCTCATCTTCTAATTTTTTTAGGAGTTTCAAAAAAGTATCTCTTTGGGGGGGGGGTTAGATCTCAACTTATTTTTTGCTTCAGATATTTTTTTTCTTTTCTAGGCATTTTCACCCTCTTTATACTACAAAATTATATTTGACATATTTTGACAAATATGTTTAATGTTAATCCACACTGAAAATTGCTAAAATTGATGCCAGATTTGCAATTTTGCCATGTGTTAATTGGTAAAAGAATGTTGGAAATCTTTTAGATCAGGGGTCCCCAACCCCCGGTCCATGGACCGGTATCGGGCCACAGCATGCCAGCAACTGTCCACACAAACAAAACCCTATCCATGGAATGCAGGCAGCACACAAAACCATACACTCTCCAGTCCGTGGAAAAACCTTTCTCCATGGAATTGGTCTCTGGTACCCACTCCCCGGTGCTTGAAGCTGGCCTGTGCAATTATATTCGAAATTCTTGGTACATCCTGATTTCTACCTCTTGAGATCCTGGAAGAAGAAAAGAATATGTTATCATGAGTGTGAAAACATTTTAAAATGCAGATTTGTGAAAATACCAAAACTAGGAATTTTGAAGGCAATGGAGATTTGCTACATGACATAACAAAAACAGAAAGAAGCACTAGCAATGTATTCTTTTTTTAATTTGTGTAGAGAGAAAAAGAATGTTAACTTAGGCATCAACTTGAGGAATGACATAGATCCAACAGAAAAAAATATCCCAACCAGGGCATAAAGAGGGCAATTGTCCTGGACCTTATACATGGATGAGATCCCATTCCAAGGTAGCTCAATATTTGAAGCTATTAGACAAACTGATAATATTCCAAGTATTATTCCAATAATTCTGAAATTCTGTTAATGTGTAAAGTATTAATGTATAAAGTTTTTCACTGCAATAGCCCAAAAATAGGGGGGAAAATACTATATTAACATGAAATGCTATGAAATAAAAGTTTGGGGGGGGGAGCTGCTCAAATGAACATTCTAGCTTTGATCATCTCAGAATTTTTAAAGTTCCCAGGGAATACAAAGCCCATTCTATCATTTTTGTTAGATCACACATAACAGTTCATGTTTGTAGCTATTTGCTTCCTAGCAAAGTAGATTTATATGCTTTCTGCCACTGCACTCAAGATAACTCATTGTTGAACAATGTTTACACTTTACAGTGTTTTAGTTAACAGTTAATGGATGTGGTAGAAGAGGGAAAAGGAAACTTTTTAAAAAGCAACTTCTGTAATGGTCATCAATTGAGATAGCTCTTGGAGAAAGTAGCTACATGTGATGAAGTCCTAGACTGGCCTAAGATCAGGGGTGTCAAACTGCCCGCCGTGGGCCGGATGCGTCATCCGGAAACCGCGCCCACCCCATTGTTGGCAATGGCAAAACCATCCCAATATGTTGTGTGATGTCACATGACATCACGAGTTTGACATGTCTGTCTAAGATGGAATAAAGGAAATACTTCATTGTCTCACTTCTGGCCCTGATGTTACCTGGTGGAATACAGATAATTGCAGTTCTGTGAACATCTGCCTTGCTAATTGGTTGTGCTTTATTTCTGCATCTTGAATTACTACTTTGCAAAGCTACTTTTTTTTCAACCAGGCACCGTTGAGGCCTATTGATCCAATCAAGCTTAATATAAAAGCACCAGAAGCATCTCAGGCAGCTCAAGCATCTCTAGGATAACAGCATCATTTTTACATGACCTTTGGCAACTCTATGATGATCTAGAACAGTGGTTTTTAAACTGTATGACCCTTTTCCAAGTCTTATAAATATCATTCCTGTACCACCACCAAAAAACTACAAACACAACGAGTTCTTTTGCACAAGCATCTCGACAGCTGTCTCAAACTGGATCAACTCACAAAGAAGCAATTATAAATTATCCCCCAATATATGCCCAGTTTAAGAATCATTGACTTAGAATAAAATAATAGAATAGGAAGTGTCAATTAAGGACAACAGTGTCAGCCCTATTCCATTTCTGCACTTTTAGATATATATGCTGTGTAGTCTTGGTTTAAAAATCCTTATATTTAACTAAGGCTTATTTTGACTGGACATATAGGAAAGAATTTAATTTCAAAAAATAATTTAAAGGGTGAAATCATTCCATGCCCTAGTGCCTTGATGTATAGTGGCAGAACCTGGAGATGGAGTCAAAAGAGGAATCAGCCTAGAGTCTACATAGCCACAAATGGTCTAAATCCAATCTCTCTTGAATTCCATTGACCCTTACCTAGCACCAAAATAGTGCTAACCATTAGTTAAGTAGAGAAATTTCTGTGCATAGGCATGAATAATAATAATAATAGTAATAGTAATAAAACAGTTTAATTAGAACTTTACTTGTGGTAGTGGTATTTCACGCTTGACAATGAACTGCTACTGCTTTTCCTTTTCCAGTGTACTTCATTTCATTTACTTTAGATAAAAATTTCCCTTTTTTTAGTATTAATCTATTGTTTTGACACATTTCTATAACCTATCAAGATCATTTTACTTTTGTTTCTTTTATTTATGGAATATGTTGTTATATCTAGCATTTGGTCTATTACAGGGGTAGGCAACCCAAAACACTTAAAGAGCCACTTGGACCTGTTTCCCACCAAAAACAAAACACTGGGAGCCGCAAAACCCTTTTGATATCTAAAATGAAGATAACACTGCATATATCCTTTTTTACCTTTATTATAGGTGTGTGTGTTTGTGTGTGTGGGGGGTATTTGTGTGTATGTGTGTGTGTGTGTGTATGTATATGTATGTATGCATGTATGTATGTGTATATACACACACACACACACATACACACACAGGTTAAAAAAAGGATATATGCAGTGTTATCTTCATTTTAGATGTCAAGAGGGTCTCTCTCTGTCTCTCTCCCTCCCTCTCTATCTGCCCTTGGTCTACCACTCCTCTTCCCCCACTCTCTTTCTTTCTCTCTCTCTCTCTCTCTCCTTTCTCCCTCCCTCTCTCTCTTTCTCTCTCTCTCTTTCTCCCCCCCCCCTCTCCTATCTGCTGCTCACCTGGCAAGCTTCAAGCTGTTGTCCAACAAGATCAGGGGTAGGCAACCTCGTCTCTTTTATGACTCATGGACTTCAACTCCCAGAATTCCTGAGTCAGCCTAGCTGGGCTAGCTAGCTCTCTCCTGCCCTTCCTGCTTCCTGCTTCCTGCAGAGATGCAGCAAAGGGAGGAGCTCCGCCCAGTAAGCTTTTCAGCGCCTCGGAGAACATGTGAGTACACTCTCTTTTACACATACACACACACACACACAAACACACACACACAGAGAGAGAGATTGAAGCAGGGAAGCGCAATTGCC